CAGAATCACACGCGGCGCAGCACCAACTCCGCTGCACGCGTATCTACGCGCAGCACTTCCTATACAAATGCGGCATACACAGCTGGGTATCTTCAACTTCAAGAAGATCGCCCGATCTGCATCGGCCAATCCTTATAACGCTTAAAAGCGCAATAATAATCGGCCTCACGAAGGTGCGCAGTGGATGCGTTACGGCCCCTGTTGATTACCGATTTGGCGCAACTCGGCTCTATTTCAGCCCTTCCGCACTTTTTTCCTACTCTGACTTGCTTTTCTTCCTTAGGTTGTGTCAGAATTCTCAGAAGTCGACAGCAAATGTGCCGGAAAGATGAGTAGCGAACCCCAGGCAAAAGGTAATTGCCTGCGACGCCGCAACACAACCGCCGTGCACTTTCAATCCTTACTGCGCTTATAAGCGTTATAAGGTTTAACGATCTGAATCACTTGATCCTTATGAAGTTTGGAGGTGAGAGAGTAATGCTCAGTAGAGCATGTGCGACATGCCACGCTTGATCCTGCAATAGTATATCCACAGTAGTTATGGTTAGAATGTAGATCTGGAATGTGAACCTTTATTTCTGCTTTTTATACTTGTCATCCATTGATTCGTAATTATTTATGCAGGGCATAAAATATTATATGTAAACAAAAAAAACATCAATGTTTTTTGAGCAACAATTGAGGGCTAAGCTTTAGATTGGATGTCAACAGATCAGAGCAATTTTGAAACACATATACAACATTTAAAATGATTGATCACAGAGAGTAAAGTGGAAGTGGTGCTCGTACATAAACCTGTTCATTGGCATCTAATCCAATAAAATCAACAAGAAAACAGTCAACTTGCAGTAACAACATCACATAGTGTTTATATCCACTTACGACCACACGTCTTCCACATAGCGATCAGCTTTATGCAGGTCCGTCATGTAAGCTTTTGCTTCTGCATCAGACTTTCCTGGAACGAAATTTAGAACAGGAAAAAAGAGTATGCAGAAGTCATACACGTACCCATTACTTCCTTTATCATGTCATGGAAACATTGCCACACTCCTTTTGACATGCCTTTCGCATCACCACAAATAAATACTCGGGAAGGTACGTCAAATCTGCCTTCTGAGATGAAATCACAGACCTCAAACAAGAACAGTGATTTTCATAAATCAGCGGTCGTTTATACCCTCTATGGAATTTGTAGTATCCCTAATGGGGTGACGTCGAGTGGCGCATTTTTCGGTTGTTTCACTTTGCGCGTGGATGCGCAGAAAGGAATCTAGAAAAATAGCAGCTACTGAGAGCTAACTGCGAATGAACTCACAATTAGTCCGCAATTTTATGGTCAAATCCTCCCACGTTGTTGGAAAGCTTAGAAGGTCAGATAGCTTTTTGTTTTATGATATCATAGTGTAGTGACAGCCCAAAAAATATTGCGCCACTCGACCGTCACTCTCCTGGTGCACAATCAAAAAACAAACCTGTTTGGCTCTCTGTTTGAGTGCATCCTGCACATATTTGGGTCCAT